AGAGGAAATAACAGGTCAAATCAAGCAAATCCCCCTCTCAGATTCCACAGCAACCAGAAGAACATAAATACTGGCTGGTGATTTGATTCATCAGCTTTGTGATGGAATAAAAAAATGCACAGTGCATTTCCTTAGCTGTGGGTGAGTTCACTGACAATGCTCAGTTGCTGGTGTTTGTGAGTTTTTATGATGAGGCAAAGGGGGAGTTTGTTGAAGATGTGTTGGGCCTGACGAACCTCAGTGGACACACAAGGGGGAATACATTTATAAAGCAATAATGGGAATGCTGAATGAAAGAGGGTGCAGCTGCCTTTATTCCTAACTGTGCAGCTCTGACACTGCGACTCTGAGGGGTCAAGCACAGACACAATAACAATGAAAACTGCTGCATACAGATTATTTTTGTTTTTGCAACCTCGTGTTAAGAATCTTGTTGCAATTGTTTAAAAGTTTGAATGACCGTAATAAACGGACCTTTGTCTTATTGAAACATTTATTTTGGACCTTTAAGATTTGTATTTGAGTACCCCTGCTATAGGCTCTATAGCAGGGGTGGGGAACCTCCGGCCTCCGGGCCGTATACGGCCCGCGAGACAATTTGGTACGGCCCTCGAGGTAATTTATAAACACACGCAAAAAAGAAAAAAAATTAAGAAATCTAGACCGCAAAAAAATTAAACAAGCGAGTGCCTGTTTTTCCTGGCCAAGGTCAGGGTCCTTGAACACAACACGAGCCTAACGTGTCATCACGTGGTATATGTCTCGACTGACAGGGGTGCAGTTCTGACGGAGAGCACCAGAACGCCACTCCAGCACTTCAGAAATTGCAGTACCGATAAGGAGCCGTACACATGCCGCAGTTTCTGCGTGTCTGTGTCTTTAGTTGAAAGCCCAGTGGCGATCTGTTCATCTGTCATACTGATCATACAGTCAATAACTTTGTTGTTATTAGCATCTGGTTAGCTAGCTATGCTAACGAATATAAGAAGCTTTTTCTACAACCAGTGAGGTAAAGGCACATCTTTATATGATCATTATAGTTATAAAAAAACAAGAGAATAAAGTAAACAGGTATAAAATACTATATGACAGTAAAAAAAAGTTGTTATTAATAAAGAAGAATACAGTTTGAAAGGGGAGTGATTTGTAAAATATCCATAAAGAAAAATAAATCTGCTTCCAGTTCTGTTTCATCTGGGTGTTGAGAGATGTATCCATAGATCTCCTAATGTTGCTCTCAAAGTGCACCAGATTGATGCTTTTAACTTCAACATTTAAAAAAATATCTTCCCAGGGGAGCATGCCCCCCGGACCCCCCTAGAGGAGGTTAGGTCCCCCCCCCCACTTAAATCATGTTCACATGGATAGGAAACTAAATACATTTGCACACATCTTGTGTCCATATCTTTCTGTTTGGTGGTCATGCCACACCGTGCACGTGCATGCGTGTGCGAGTCATGGTGAGATATCTGGATTAAGAGGTGGCTTTTTCTTTGCACAGCATGAAATTAATGGGCTGTGATTTTAGTTTTTTTAAGCAGAGGTCAATAATTTGTACGGCCCTCTGAGGATATTGTAAACATTGAAATGTCCCTTGAGAGGAAAAAGGTTCCCCACCCCTGCTCTATAGGATCCGCCGAATCCCTCGGAACATCATAAAAGCCATTTTTAACAGTTTTCTAGTGAAAGTTTAACCAGGCTACTGGATGAAATAATATGACTGGTATAGGTGCAAAAATTAAACACTTTTTGAAAAGAAATATTATGATAAAATATTTTTATATATTTATAATTCTGCAAATATTACAATAAACTCACAACTATTTCGCACCCCGGTGGTTGGGAACCCCTGTTATAAAAGATTTTTTTTTTCTTCATATTTTTAATGTATTTTTCATTGTTTGTTCAGTACTAAAAGGTCCAAGAAGTCCCACAATTGAATTGAATATTCATTTGACATGTCAACTATATTGTAAAGCGCTTCATGGGAGTGATTGCGGGATGATACATTTTCAAAGTATCACGATATGTATCGGTTGAGTATCGGTATTAGGGCTGCACGATATTGAAAAAAACTGACATCGCGATTTCCCCCCCCTGCGGTATATATTGCAGGTTTTTTTTACCTGTTAAGCCCCAAAATCCCGGCGGGTACTTTACTTTTTTTTTCACGACACTGTGTTTCAGGTTCTTAAATATTAAGATCCCCTATTAATGTGTTATACCAGATTAACGGAAATAATCTCAGCTAACTGACGATACAAACCATTTTTACCAAAACAAAACACAAGTCTCATAAGAAGCATCTAAATGACCCCTGAGCGAAAAATGGTAACGCACTTTGGCACAGAACTCAAGATAAAAGTACCCTTATTACTTATCGTAGCTGCACATACAAGATATCCGATTAAAGCTGAGGTTCCACAGATTATTTAGGTATATAGTATCATCACTGAGTGATCCGAACTCGGACAGGGGAAGCAAACACAGACATCACAACACGTACCTTTACGTAGCTTCTAGGGGAGATGTCTCACCGTAGCTGTCAATCTGATCAAAAGACGCGTTCAATGGCATTAAAACGAGAAAAAACGCGGCTGAATCTGTTAATCCATAGGTTTTTAACGTCTCTGTTGTTAACTGTGATCATTATTCTCGCGTCCAGGAAAGAGAAGCTTAAAAAGGAGACTAAATGGAGTCTCTGGAGGTTCAAATTTGGTACTTTAATTAATAAAAAAGGCGCGGTAAAGTCACAAACAGGATATTGTTCAGACAGGAGAGAAAGTCTGCAGCTTCCTCTCCCAGGTGCCGGCCGTGCTTACAAGCATTCGTCCTTCCCGCTTGCTGGCTGTTCGCTCCTCCTTTCTGTGAGCTGTAGTGACGTAGGAGACTTCCCCCCCTCGTTCGTCTGTGTCCGATATCGCGTTAAACAGAGGATTTCGACATTTTACATTCATTGCTTACTTCCACATGCCTTTTCTCCTCCTTATCTCTTTCATAACTTTATATGTAATACATGTTAACGGCGTCAATAGCCACTTTAATGATACTAATGGGCGGTAGTCCCGGATGTCGTCATGAAGGATTTTCAGAATAAAAGCTTGGTATTGAGAACTTCCGGTTTTTTCCAGAATAAAATAGCATTTAAACTGACGGTATGTTTAAGGTACAATATGCCATAAAACATTGATTTTAATTTCTAACACTGTATAAAAAAAATATTTCATTTATAATCCATAATTCCATTTTAATGTAAAAATCGCAGAGCAAAAGTTAGCTGCTAATGGTAGTCACCAGAGTGGCTGCTGCTTCCGGTTCTGGCTAGTCGGCAGTCCAGCGCAGTCTAACACACACACACATTACCAAATAAGGAGTGAGAGTGACGCGTAGCCAAAACCGGAAGCTGCATACACTCTGGACGCTACCATTAGCAGCTAACTTTTGTGCTCCGATTTTTACATAAAAATGGAATTATGGATTATAAACAATTGCTTCAAAGCCACAGATACATTATCAACCTATGGATCAACCGATTCAGCCACGTTTTGTCTCGTTTTAATGCCATTGAATACGTCTTTTGATCAGATTGACTACGGTGAGACGATCTCCCGTAAAAGGTACGTGTTGTGATGTCTGTGTTTGCTTCCCCTGTTGCGAGATCGGATCGCTTAGATACTATACTTAAATAATCTGTGGAGTCTCAGCTTTAATCGGATATATTGTATGTGCAGTTTAGATAAGTAATAAGGGTATCTTTATTTTGAATTCTGTGCTAAAGTGCATTAGCATTTTTTTAAAAAAATGAATAAAACCGCACGTCCCTGCGGTGTGACTATCGCGCATGCGCATATCGTGGTTATCGCCATGACACGCTATATCGTTCAGCCCTAATCGGTATCGTTCAGTGGTATCGGTATCATAAAAAAGTCAACGATATGCATCCCTAGCAGGAACGCTCTTGAGGTGTAAAATAATATTAAACAGATACAATAATTAACACACAGGTTGTGTTCCCACTGTTTCCATAATTGAGTGGGGGACATTTTTTGAGATTCACAGCTTCCTCTTTAATGAGCAAATGCAGCTAAGAAATTCTTAGGAACCCACAAAGTAACACTCAGACCTATGAGCTCAGTATTCATTTATTTTAAAGGAAAATCTGATAAAAGATTTAAATAGGTTGATTATCTTAAAGTTAATCTCAGCACCAGGCTGCAGGAACACGTAGGGATCTCCCTGACTTATTCATGCACAAGAACATTCATAAAAACAAGAAGATAAACACATTCTTACAGTTTCTATGTCTCTAAATCACATCTGATTTACTCAGATTTGTTGTGCTCATATCGGGTCTTTCTGCCAGCTGGTCCAAACTCATCTGCTTGCATGGCCTTAAAGCTTGATCCATGAAAAGTAAAGACATGAAATTGGCCACAAAAACTCTGAAGAGAACTATAAAAATAAGCGTTCCTTGGCATCAGCTTTCTGTCAACTGAAAAATGTCAGAATCATCAGAATGTTTGAAAATGTCAAGAATTGTCAACAGATAACCCAAACGCCTAAAGTGGGAGTATGCTTTATTAGAACTGCTGGTCAGAGAGAGAAATAGCTCCTGTACATTTCCAAATACATCCATCTGAGGGTTAGGTTTCAGCAGCTGTGAGGAAGTGAGCCGCATTCATCACCATGAATGTTTTCCAGGAGAGACTATATTTAAACCATCATTAGACTTATCATTAGGGCTGCATGATTATGGCGAAAATTAAAAGATTTCTGATTTTAGTGACATATTTTTAATGCACGTTCACATTTTTGTTTTACTTCCATTTTGTGCTACATTCCCGCTAAAGCACAAAGTAGGATTGCACGATTTTGAAGGGAAAAAAACGGATTTTAGAAAAATGAAATTGAAAGAAGTCTGATTATCTGTCTGCATCTTGTTTACCAGTGAATAAGCTGTAAACGGGAATCAATTAACGCAGAGGGACTTCGGTACTCACAAAGTAAACGGCTCCGAAGCTGCCATGGCCGATCTCACGGAGGTCAGCGAACAGCTTCTCCGGATCATCTTTGCAGAAGAGGTCTGCCACTTCGGGGTCTTTTATATTGCCCGCCCGTGCACCTGAGGGCATGGCCAGGGCCTGGGAAACAAGAAGAAGGAGAGGTGAGTACTGGCAGACTGTAGCAGGGGGAAACACATTTCTCTATAAGATTTGATAGAAAGAGAGAGAAAAACATTTGAATTTTGCCATTAAATTGCATTGGACTCCCATAGATATTATTAAAATACCTGAATCACATTATTGCAATTAGGGCCAAATTATGAGTTCAAAATAAATTATAAAATGTTTTTAATAAATAGCATTGTTGCAAATTTAGATGGTTGGACTTAAACTACATTTTTGTAATTCTAACCAGCAGACAGATAAGTACTTTAAATGGTACGGTTAGTTTTCAGTTAAATTCTTAAATCATAAATATACATTGTTTTTTACCTGAATGAAGAAATAAAATATATATTTGTTTGTTTTTTAAAATTCAAAATGGTATATGTCTGCTATTTTTCCTTTCTTGCAACCACATTTGTATTCTGTGTAGTTTGAATATAGTTACGTCAAATTGAGAATTCATATGTGCATACAAAATTGAGTGCCACTGATATTGCCTTGGAGCTGAAAATCACACTTTTAAAGATATTTGGACGAAGGAAGAAATGTAATTTCCTTGAAACGTTTAAATGTGAAATGGTTAATATATAATGCATATATAAAAGCACAGTTTCATGGGACTGAGTTGATATGGACAGACCCATTTTAATCCCTACTAAAGTACATTTTCTTCTTTATTGGTAATTCAAACGCATACCAACATTTATTTTTTTGGAACTGTTGATTAAAAGTAAATTACTAACTTTAATTTGTATCTATATTTTATTATCAGTTAAGCTTTAAGCAACAAACATGTACTGGTCCTGGAGATTGCAGATGTATCCTAATTTACATATCTTGATTATAGCATCCTATTGAAAATATTGGCTTAATCTATTTTTCTGTTTATTGAAATTTCTGATTTAAACAAATCTTTAACAGCATATGTATAATATACATTTTTCATCAAATTGATGACAAACTTGAAGTCAATAGCGGGCTCAAATCATTTTGGTTTTTGCTGAAGGGACAACCCCTTGGTTTAAATGTGGATCATCAGTGATGTGATTGGCCTGTTTTCCACTTCAGTTGGGCAGAAGATCGTCTAATGAATGTGTTAAACAGACTGGAAAATGCACTCTTGTTAAAGTGACCGATTTGCAAAATCCCCCTCACGTGCACCAACATCTAGAGCCTTTATCAGCCTTCCTGAAGTTGTAATCTGTGGTGCATGTCTCAACAATCCTGCAATGTTTTAGGAATTCTTTGACTGTTTCCTCTGCAGGTCTGTTGAGATAGAAAGCAGTCTTTATCTCCCGCAGTTCATCTATCAGGGACACTTACCAGGTGACAGGCTCGGACATGAAACTGGATGTTCAACTGTGGAGGTGAGAGCGAGTTGTGTGTAAGAACACGAAGAAACACAGTGATGAACAGCAGAGTGTTGTGGGGGAGACAACATGGCAGCTGCACTTCAACATGAATATATTTCAATTATTAACTGTTCAGTTTGAGCTGAAACGTGACGTCGAGAGCATAAATGATATGAACACCTTCAAAAATAAGGAGAGAGTGATGCTCTCTACTTCAGTAACACATTTAGTGTTTTAGTATTCATAAAGATTTTAATTAGAATAAGTCGGTCATAAGGGAGCCTTTATGCAACACCAAAAACTACTTATTAATACGTTACCTATATTTAGATTGAAATGTAGGCTACTGAATGTTCATTTGGGTTGAAATGCACTTCGTGTATATTAAGATAAAAATGTGCCTGATACAGCCTAAACTTATACAAACAAGTAATTCATGTACTGAATAAATATGTGTTTAATGTATATTAAGATTACTTTTTTTTAAAAAAAGGCACTTCATGTTATTTTAGAAAAACATATAAATGAAAATGTAATTTATGTATAACTAGATTAAGATATACTTCATGCATATTTTTAAAGAGGCCCTATTGTGTTTTTATGTGCATGTAAATGGTCTGGCTAAATGGAAACGGGATGTCCTGCATATAACGATTGTTTTCATTATAACTAATTACACATTATTATTTTTGTAATCAATTTCTCATGTTGCCATGCCATTACAATTTCCCAATGCCCAAAGCGATGTCTTTAAATTCCTAAATGTTCAATGTTTTCTTGTTACTTAAAAAATGCTGAGGGTGTATCATCGGATGTTTAACTAATAAATATGAAATATAGGGGATGGTGATGCTCTAACAAATAAAACCATAATGAACAAGCAGGGCAAAGAGAAGAAAAACATCTTCACATGCATGAAGATCAGAGAGCAGGAGGAAGCTGACTGACAGCACCATCCAACTCAAATCAAACTATGTAGGTTATGAATAAATAAATCCACCAAGCTTCATGACTAAATCAGCTCCCTGAATGCTTCTCAGCGTGAACACTGAGCCGTGCTAATTGACAAATACAACATCATGTTATAACGGGGTTAATGTAGCTGCTCATCTGAGTGTCTGCTGGAGCCCTGAGGACAGCCGGCAACATCAGCAGGCCTCTGTGAACACATGAAGCGCGCCCTCAGGTCCTCTTCTGAATGCAACACTGCAAGGCTTGTTTGTTTTTTTAAAGCACCGCTGTCGTTTGGATGCACTAGTATATCTGAGTAGACGAGGGGGCAGATCCTCACCCTCCCACCCCCCAACGTTTCTTCAAAACGCAGTGAACCAATTTCCAATGATATATTATGTGGCACTCAGTGTGGCCTGATAGTGTTTCAAAACGAGGCGAGGAGGCAGACGCCCGCAGCTACTGTGTCTGAAGTCAGGAGGAAAACAAGCAATGTGAAGAATGACAAAGACCACTGTTGGAAGAAGTATTTAGGTCCTTTAGTTAAGTGAAAGTACTAATAATTATCTGTAAAAAATACTCTGGTACAAGTTGTCCTGAAATTAAAATGTTCCCTTGTTAAAAGAAAGGATAATCAGAGAAATGAACTGAAAGTATTATGTTTATATAAAAGTACCCAATGCAGAACGTTATAACAATTACCACAATTCTTTCTTTAATTAAATGTGATCATTCTTAACGGTTTAAAGATGGCAATTAACTTTCCCCTGATTTGATAATTGATTATTTGTCCAATTGTCCAGATAAAATTATAATTCATAACAAAGCATCATTTTTATTTATATATTATATATTTTTGTTTTATATGCAAAACTTTCATTTGACAATATGTAACTCTAATGTCCAATAACTGCAGCTCCAAAATAAAAGTAGCAAAGTAAAAACTAGGATATTTCCCTTCAAATGTTGGTGTTGAAGCATTATGAAAGAAAATACTCAAGTATTTCAGTTTTGTGATTAAGTACAGTACTTTGACTGTTATATTTGATCTGCCTTTATCAACGTTTGTGTTATAATATTATAATGTTTTTCAAAAATGGTGTGTCCTTCACTGTTGTTGTTTGTAGTGTCTCGTCTGTTTTATTATAAAATAAAAGGTAGTGGGTAATTTCTTATTTTTCATGTCTATTGATTGGATTGATTCAGGATTGTTTTTGTGGTGTTGCTTTTATCTAATGTTTTATTTGAAAACCTAATTTTTTTTAGAACATTTAAAAAAACATTAGTACCATAATGGGTTTGGAAAAATGATACGGAACTTTGGAAAAAAGAAGAATATTATTATCATTTTCCAAGGAGAATCAAGCTTCCTCGACATCCCATGAGGAAACAACAGACTCACATGTTCATTTGTGTTCAACTTGAATCTAATGTAAGACAATCAAAAATAGAGAGGGGTAAAAGAGCTTCAGACAGTTCTTTCTAAACATAACGACTGACGTGACATTTGGTGTGTCAGTGGTGCCGAATGACCAACATCACATGGTTGAACTCAAACCCTTACACTTTTGCATAACAGAAGCTCATTGTGGGGAATGTGTGTGTGACATTCCAACTAAGTGGTGTCAAATTATATTAAGTCAATAATCCACATCTACCCAAAATACATTAAGACATTTCTGTTCTTTTTATACTTTTTTAGATGACAGGCAGTAAGGTATAAAGCATTTGTATTGGGCGTGTTGCATACTTTTGAGAAAAAGTTAATACTGTAGCATTAACAGTGAAATGTCCACAAACTGTGCCACTAATGACATAGAATACATGTTAGCGGTTACCATAATACAGAAAATTGCATGCTACTCATACAGGAGCTTGCAGAATGAAAACGGAATACTTTTCCATGATTCAATGCCAATCTCCCAAAGCAGACGTCAAGGTTATATCAGCTTTACATCAAACTGGATCTCTCCATTGTTATTTTTAGGAAGAAATTAGATGTGTGGCTTTGGTTAAAGTATACATAAGCATTACATCAACCTCTGACTCAAAATATAACTTTGGAGCTATTAAGATACTTTTGTTTGGACATTATGAGCCCATCTAGAGAGGCGTGTGGCGCAGTGGATTAGTGCGTTGGTGTTTGGATCAGGGGGTCACAGGTTCAAACCCCACTGCAGTCAGCATGTCGTTGTGTCCCTGAGACACTTCACCCCAAATTGCTCCTGTGGGGATCGCCCACAGTACTGAGTATGTAAGTCGCTTTGGATAAAAGCGTCTAACAAGTAACATGTAATGTAATAAATGTCCTCCAGTATACCCTGATAAATAACGAACAATAAACTATGCAATTAGTTAGAAGTAACACTTCTATAAGCGAGTCAGTTGATCAGATTTTAACCAGGCTAAAATTAAGTTTCTTGTGGTTAGAGCATAACATTATAATCCAGTATTTACTCCTCATGGATGCAACTTGATGTGTAATAATACAACTATGCTCACTTTATTTGTTACCAAACCACATAACACTATTTAGTTTGCTGCCTTTCCCTTTGAATAATGAAAATGTATTAGTAATGATGCTGAAGATTGGACTAAAAAAAAAACATGTGAAGGTGTCACATCGTGCTTGATATAATTGTTTCTCACTATTTTTATAAAACAAACAATGTATTGACAGAAGTATCATTAATTGAATCTATATTGGAAATATGCATTCGTTAATAGCTTAAAATGAGCTCCACCTTAACCAACTACCACGGTAAAATCCTGCTTTCACATTAATGCATGACTAATAATAATCTAATGATACCATATATACATAGTCACATCGGATATTGTACTATCAAAAGTCTAACCATATATTCCTGATTATAGTTACATCATTTTAATGAAGGACTATCTCAAATGCAGAGCTCTGTTAATAGTACTTTAACACTGTGGTATTAGTACTTTAACTGTATTAATGAATCTGAATACTTTCTCCATCACTGCTTTACGTCTTTATTATGTCATGTACAAACAAAAATAGCGTTAAATACATTTAACTGAATACAAAACTGCACACGATCCATCAGAATGAACGGTAGTACATTTAAACTAAATCCTTTTTTAACTGAAGGCCCCTGAAAATATAATAAAAGACACTCGTATTTGGACATGTTTTCCCATTTCTGCGGAAAACCCCAACTTAAAAAAACTGAACAGCTCTTACATTCCAAGTCAGATATATTATTTAAGTCGTTTGGTTGTAATGTTTTAGTGTTCTATACTTATCTGTCTGGGGCTTTAACTTGCTTTCGATTTTTAAATTCATTTCCTGCCTCTTTGTTTATGCTAGGCACCAAGAGACCAAGGCAAATCCCTGTACGTGAAAACCCAAAGTCGCTTGGCAATACATTCAGATTCTGTCACCAAGTTTGAAACCCCCCTGTAACAGCTAACTTTGGTTAGCTTAGCATTAAAACAGCTAGCTGAATGTAGCATCACTTACCGCGGCTTATTGTGGTTCCTCTCCGGAACGAAAAATAACTGGTAGGAGCGGGCTAGCGAGCCTCTATCCTCATAGCCCGGGTCTTTTCCTCTCTGCAGACAATCAACACAAATGTTGCTCCATTTTCACAGAAGTCCCGACGGTGAATTTCATTAACGGTCTCTAAATAACACCGCTAGTTTAGCTGGTTCAAATAGGAGCTTGCCTTGTCCTCTCCTATGATACTAGCCGTAGCTAATTAGCTAGCTTAGCTTCGATAGCTTGGAAGCTAACGTTAACATTAGCTGTTCTCCGGGGTGTGGCTGTGGTTTCTCTGCGGTGCCCCACTTCCAAGCATGCTGTCCCGTTACACCTCACGTTTTTTTGAAATATACTCTTAAAATCGGACTTAATATATGCGCCCCATACCGAGGTCGGGCTTTTTTTGTTCTTTGCTAAATACAAGATGGAACAGACTAGTGGGGCGGGACTCAAGTGGTGACCGGAAACTGTTTTGTTCTATTTCCTGTGAAATTTCCGCTTCACAAAATAAAAGGATATAAATAAATAAAGGCAATATTGAATGATTTTATTTTCTAAGAACACTCTTTTAAAGTGGGATATATTTAATAATGTTAAGTTTAGCACTTATTTATTTGTATGTATTTCATTAGATCCACATTAGCCATAACATGTGATCACTAAAATATGCAGGTGGGAATTTACATTTGAATAAATATATATACAGTACCAGGGTTTGGTAAACTTTGAAATATTGTCACTTATCATGTACGAATATCCTGGAAATATCTGTAATAAGTAACATAATACTTTAGATGAACAAATATGGAATGCAATCTGAGAAAATGTCACAGCATAGGGACGAGATTATATGTGACGAATAAAAACGAACAAACCCTTCAAAAACAATATTTTCATTGTCCGTAGTCAATTAAGCAGTGGGAGAACGTAATTAGGTACATTTACACAACACACTTATTTTTTAGCACTACTTTATAACGTTTTATTTGTATTGAATACATATTAAATGTACCTTTGCCAGCTGCAACATTAAAACTATTAACACAATTATAATAATTTAATACTACATTATCCTACAAAGGTCAATGTTGTGTTACCAGTAGTTTTATTTTGGGTACTTCCTATATTGTAATGGTAATACTTTAATATGTATTATGTCTACACTGGGGTATAAAATAGTTCAATTTTAGTATGTATGTCATTAACCACTGTTTTGATTATAATCCTCATAGAAAAGGTGTTTTTTCAAGGGATATTTATTTATTATTTGTATGCAACTAAAACATCCCATAATCTCTGTTATATTAGCTGCAACATTGTTAAAGCCAATGGGAATCATTTTAATTTAAATCTGGCAGTAATGACTACAGATGGTCAGAAAACTATCCACCATCTTGGAACTTTGTTTGGTTCAGGTAAAACAGTCCTGCAATAAATAACTTTTAGGAGGCAGCATCTGGGACATATTTTCCTTTTAAACCAGAAACCAAAATAACACCAAAAATATTTAAGTTTCATCTTTATTGCAATGTCCAGCAAGACAGAGATGAAAAGTACATTGAACTGGAACATATAATCCAAAACATCTTAAATTAATTATAAAAACATATTAAAATGAGCTATAAAGTTACTGTTGTAATTGAAACAGTCCCAGTGATAACAGAGTCAACATCAAGGAGCAATTCTCAGGCCACCTCCTTGATGTTAGGCCCTTGGGAGTCAAGCAAGTCAGAGATGAAAGGTACATTCAAAACATTACCATCTTAATTTAATGATAAAAACATATTAAAAATAAGCTATAAATGTTACAGTGTAATTGAAACTGTGATAAGAGTCCATATTATTTTTAATCCACCTCCTCAATGGTGGGCCCCTGGGAGCCGGCACCGGCCTGCTCTCCACAGCTGCCTGCAGGCATTCCTCCCTGGTACAGCTTGCTGATGATGGGGTTGCACACTTTCTCCAGCTCTTTCTGCTTGTGTTCGTACTCCTCTTTCTCAGCCAGCTGGTTGTCCTCCAGCCAGGTGATGGTCTCCTCACACTTCTCCATCAGCTTCTTCTGGTCCTCCTCACTAATTTTGCCCTTCAGGTTGTCGTCCTGCACAGTGCTCTTCATGTTGAAGACGTAGGACTCCAGGGAGTTCTTGGCAGAGATTTTTTCCCTCTGAATGTCATCCTCAGCTTTGTATTTGTCGGCGTCCTGCACCATCCTCTCGATTTCCTCTTTGCTCAGTCGGCCCTTATCGTTGGTGATGGTGATCTTGTTCTCTTTGCCGGTGCTTTTGTCCACCGCAGACACGTTCAAAATGCCATTGGCGTCCACGTCGAAGGTGACCTCGATCTGCGGGACCCCTCGTGGAGCGGGTGGGATTCCCGTCAGCTCAAACTTGCCCAGCAGGTTGTTGTCCTTGGTCATGGCTCTTTCTCCTTCGTAGACCTGGATGAGGACCCCGGGCTGGTTGTCAGCGTAGGTGGTGAAGACCTGGGTTTGTTTTGTGGGGATGGTGGTGTTGCGTTTAATCAGAGATGTCATGACTCCTCCAGCTGTCTCGATACCAAGGGACAGAGGTGCCACATCCAGTAGCAGCAGGTCCTGAACGTTGCCCGAGGTATCTCCTGAGAGAATGGCCGCCTGGACGGCAGCCCCGTAAGCCACCGCCTCGTCTGGGTTGATGCTCTTGTTCAGCTCCCTGCCGTTGAAGAAATCCTGCAGGAGTTTCTGGACTTTGGGGACTCGAGTGGAGCCTCCAACCAGGACGATGTCGTGGATCTGTGCCTTGTCCATTTTGGCATCCCTCAGGGCTTTCTCCACAGGTTCCAACGTTCCCCTGAAGAGGTCGGAGCACAGCTCCTCAAATCGCGCCCTGGTGATGGAGGTGTAAAAGTCGACGCCCTCGCACAGAGAATCGATCTCAATGCTGGCCTGGGAGCTGGAGGACAGCGTTCTCTTGGCCCTCTCACAAGCTGTGCGCAGCCGCCTCAAAGCTCTCTTGTTCTGGCTGATGTCCTTCTTGTGTTTCCTCTTGAACTCCTCCATAAAGTGGTTGACCATGCGGTTGTCAAAGTCTTCTCCACCCAGGTGAGTGTCTCCAGCCGTAGATTTTACCTCAAAGATGCCGTCTTCAATGGTCAGGATGGACACGTCGAAGGTGCCTCCACCCAGGTCAAAGATCAGGACGTTTCGTTCTCCTGACTTGATTTTGTCCAGGCCGTAAGCGATGGCGGCTGCTGTCGGCTCGTTGATGATCCTCAGGACATTCAGTCCTGCGATGACACCTGCGTCTTTGGTGGCCTGTCGCTGGGAGTCGTTGAAGTACGCTGGGACTGTGACGACTGCATTGGACACAGTTTGGCCAAGGTACGCCTCAGCAATTTCCTTCATCTTTACCAGGACCATGGAGGAAATTTCCTCAGGGTAGAAGGTTTTGTCTTCCCCTTTGTATTCCACTTTTATTTTGGGTTTCCCTCCATCTCCAACCACCGCGAAGGGCCAGTGCTTCATATCTGCCTCCACCACTGGATCATCAATCTTTCTACCAATCAGTCTCTTTGCATCAAACACCGTGTTACTAGGGTTCAAAGCCACCTGGTTCTTTGCTGCATCCCCGATGAGCCTCTCGGTGTCAGTGAACGCCACATAGCTGGGGGTGGTCCTGTTGCCCTGGTCATTGGCGATGATTTCTACTTTTCCATGCTGGAAAACACCCACGCAAGAGTAGGTGGTGCCCAGGTCAATGCCGATCGCGACACCTTTAGCTGCAGACATCTTTGTTGATGTTAATTTTTGTCCTAAAGATGCAGATACAAAATATAAATAGTAAGGTAAATTAGAAAAGTAGATGCATACAACAACTATTATTACATTATGAATTACATCTTGCCCAGCCTGAATTATCTATTTAATATCCAACTTAGAGTTGTTTATTTTATGGACAGGTCAAATGAATGATTAAACATGGGTGTATAACTAACAACTAAAAAAGGTAGACTAACTCTAATTGCCTATTTCAAAGCAGAATGTTTTTCAGGGGCAGTTCATTCATTAGACCACAAATTAAAAATAAATTGAAGATTCTTTAGATCAGGAGTGTCAAACTCAATTTCATCGTGGGCCACATTAGCATTATGGTTGCACTCAAAGGTCCAGTTGTAACTATATAAATACATAATATATATGAAATAATGTATTATATTATTATTGCCTCTGCATTGGATTTGTATTGGATAGGGTAATAACTTCATAATTAACTACGTCTGAAAGCAGAAGTTTAGGGCAAATAATTGCAAGTCTCTTCAGTGCGCATGTCACAAAATGAGATGCATTGTGGGACATGTAGTTTATGGGCAACATGCTTCTGTGAGATAAGATAAGATGGACCTTTTCCCCGTGGGGAAATTCAGTAGTTTGACAGCAACAGGGTAAGATTGAAAAACAGGACAACACAGATTCACACAGATAAATAAAATTAAGGACAAATCAAAGATAAAAAAAAATAAATAAAATAAATTAAAATGAACATATAGATAGACTGTAAAGTGGCATGTAACCGTATTATATTATTTGCGAGCTCATGCCTCATAAAATGAAGTCGCAGGCCGGATTTGGCCCCCCCTTGAGTTTGACACCCCTGCTTTAGATGGACTTTGGTAGTTTATTCTTCAATAGAAAAAGCTGTAAAATGTTATGTCAAAGATTACAGCACATTCACAGGAAATGTGAAGGTCATAGGGCTAAATCAACAAATCATTTAACATAGCGGGTTTTAATACTTTGCATTATTCAACCTTTAAAACTGAAACATATCATTCGGTAGGCTGGGAGCAAACTCAAAGTATAGTTTATTCCTATATTGTTTACTTTATATTTTAATAATATTTTTGTTAGATCATTTAATATAAAACTGCTTTAAAAATTAAACATCAAAAATGTAACTGGGGCCCTCTTCATTAATGGAAGCCTAACATTAACCGTTTGGTGTAACTGTTATCCAGTAGGAGAAAACTCTTAAACAGCTGTTTAATCCAACGTAGGAAAGTTCTATAATTTGCACATCATTTTAAATAAAAACTATGTATTAAAGTCAATGTGCAAAAATAACAAATTAAACTATAAAGGAAAAATGATTATAGCAGAAGTAGGTCTAAAATATGCCGTTTTTCTAAGGGAGTTTGGTGAATATGTCACCGTATGGCAACGTTTACCGTAGCTACATTGAATTCATCGACATTTAATTGTCATTTTGACATAATTTTAAGGATAACACATTATTTATGGCATAGCCGTTTTGAAAAACCCCCATTTAAACTGCTACAGAAAACAGAAGAATCGTACTTACTTCCGATGAAAGATTAGGATAAAGCGACCAAATAGAAAGATGATGTCACGTAATGCGGCTTCTTACTCGGTATTCTGGATGTCTCAATGCCGGAAACTGCAAATGTCACGTATTTATAC